GCAACCCTACTCAGGAGCCCCCCCCAAAAAACCCTTTCCTTGGCCCCGCCCCTGGGGTGTGTCCCTCTTTCCCCGCTCTTTCCCCTCAAAGCTGCTGGGAAGTGTAGGCAGGGAGGTATGGCAGCTCCATTAGCAACCCTACTCAGGAGCCCCCCCCAAAAAACCCTTTCCTTGGCCCCGCCCCTGGGGTGTGTCCCTCTTTCCCCGCTCTTTCCCCTCAAAGCTGCTGGGAAGTGTAGGCAGGGAGGTATGGCAGCTCCATTGTTACCTATGGAGTACCCCCCCACACACACAAACATAAGGAACTACCAGGCTGGTATCCATTTTAAGGCCTGGCAGCCATTTCGTCACAGTTAGTGTCCTTTATAAAGTTTATATCTTTAGTACCTGGTGTTACATTTTATGGCACAGATGGCCTGGCCCGACAAAGTGACATTTATTTCAGATCCTCGTAACAAATGAGTTTGACATCTCTGCCATAAAACATTTTTAATATGAAATAAAAAGGGTAGTGTTTGTATGCGTTGTTTGTTAGAACAACCTGTGGTGTGAAACTTTTGTAAAGATTTCTATGAGGTTATTTATGTTATACCGTGTAATAGATAAGATCGATACGAAAAGATAAAAATGATAAGATAGTATGAGAAAACGGTAGAATATACCGAGTAGGTTGTTATACTGATTTTGTTAAAGTTAATATGTCATATATATTTTAAGCTATTTCATTTTATTTATTTATTGTATTAAATTTGATTTGCTAGGCCACCCTTCCCTACAGGTAGGGCCCGGGGCGGCTGACAACAGAATGATGTACACAATTCTTTAATTTAATTTAAAAATCAACATTAAAACCACCTAAAAACAGATCACTAAATAGGAACATAATATATATACAAGATGGAGGCAGAAAAACCAAACAAACCCCAGCCTCCTTACACCATATATATCATGTTATATATTTGTTAAGCTATTATACTATATACTTTTAAAAATATAGATATATATTCTGATAAAGTAATGTTCGCTATATCTGTAAAATTGCCCTTCTATTATGTTTTTGGTAATTATATTTCCTATGCATTTCTCCCTATTCCTTTTTTCCTTCTGTATCACTTTTTTAATATATATATATATATATATATAAATTATTTTTTAAAAAAGACTTTGCTTTTAAAAAAAAAAAAACAATTTTAAAAAAATAATTTAAAAAAAGACTTTGCTTTTAAAAGCACCCTCCGTGACGTTTCAGTTCTTCCAAACGTAAGGCCAGTGAATCACGAAAGCATTTTATTTTCCTGTTATGCAAAGCAGTTGCAACTTCCATCTGGAGATCTTGTTAACGATGATGCGTATGTGTTCTCTCTTCCTTTCTCTTTCGTGTCTCCCAATAGTTCAAAGAAGAATCTGCTTTGTTCATTCTAGCGGCACGCTTCATGATGGGAACGGCTGAAATGTCACCCGGCGCGTGGCTGTTCCCTGAAAAACCTTGCGTGGGATGCTGGCTTGACCACAGTCCAACGGGCATCTGAACGCTGAATATTATATGCTTTGACACCTCTGTGCTTTGCAGCGTAGCTACACCTCTGGGGTTGTATCTTCTGTGTATGGTCCCTGTGATGCCGGCTTTCTCTGTAGTCAGGTTTACATGCGATGCTGGCTTTCTGTGTAGTCGGGTTTACACGTGATGCTGCCTTTCTATGTAGTCGGCAGGGCTATTTTTGGGCAGGAACGCACAGGAACGGAGTTCCGGGTGGCTCCCGAGTTGGCCACGCCCAGCAGGAACTCATTAACATAATAGGCCACACCCAAGAGCAGAAACTCATTCGGATTGGCTACAATTAGGAGTGTGTGGCCTAACATGCAAAAAGCCCTGGGTTTTGACAACAAACAAGGTAAAGAGAATAAGAAGCAAAAGGTGGGTGTGGCTGGATGACCACACTTCCGGGAACATGGGGGTGTGGCTTAATATGCAAATGAGCTGTGATGTCAGGGGCGTGGCCCAATATGCTAATGAGTTCCTGCTGTTGGGTATGGCCTGTTATGCTAATGAGTTCCTGCTGGGCTTTTTCTACAAAAGAGCCCTGGTAGTCTACCTTATCAGGGATTAAGAGCTCCCCTACCACAATGGGTGTGTGGAAGGAGCCACCCTCTCCCCTAGAAGACACTGAAAAAATAATAGCAGTGGGGAAAAAACCCAACCAACCCTGAGTTAATGGAAGCAAGCTGGATTTTGAAGCCCTGCAGCAGAAACGAAGATGCCGAAGAGTAATGCAAGGTGGGCAGAAGGCTTGACTCTTTTCGGCTGCTGCTTTGGGTTTGGGACGTCTTGACATTGGCTTGGTTCTGCACGGGCTCTTCCCTCTGTTGTTTTACGAAACCCACGTTGGAACAGAAATTCCCCTCTGCATTGCGTGCTGCTTTCGCTTCCTTTGATCATCGGATTTTATGGGACCTTCTGCATGGATTTATGGCCGCTCAGGGGTGACTTTGCAGTCAGTATGGCGGCATTGCCCCAGGGTATTTGAATACGGTTTCGAGCTGCACTTTCCCCTCCCAGTTGAGAAAACGTGGAGCAAATGCCAGATGCAAAATCGCCCATTGTCCTAGACAAAGAGACGGACACGCATGCATCCCGGGGGAAGCCTGTATTGGTCGATCGATCGTGCCACCTGTGCCGGAAATTGGCATTTCGGTATCCTGAAAATCTCGTTTCAGAGGGTCACCGTGGGGGTCTGCAGTAGAGCAGCTAGTTTTGAGTCCGGTAGCGCCTTAGAGACGGAGGAGATTTGGGGGGCACGGGGCAGGAGCATTTGAGAGTCAAAACTCATACTTTGAAAATCTTGTTCGTCTCTTAGGTGCGATCCCCCGCC